AATCAATAGTAGATGTAGGAGATGATTATATAAAACAGATAAAAAAACTTAGTATAAACAGTAGAATAGTAAACAAGCAAACAATCGTGATGTCAAGCAGCCAGATCACTTTGAAAATATTCATCAAGTGAATAGAAGGCATTTTTGTAGAGAATACTTTTAACGCTATTTTTGAAATTCATGAGATTTTAAATATTCTTAATAGATGTTGGAAGTTTATTAAATATTTTTATAGATCTATTATGATGTTCGTTTGATACAGATGTTAGTTTGTGTACAGGAACTATCAGATTATGATTTTGCCTAAGAGTATAAGCAGCAGCTATGCGGATAGTAGGTCAACAGATCATTCAATTTTCTGCAGTTACCGTAACAGACTAAGCGATAATTTAGGCCTGAGTGAACATATGCATATTAGGAAGTTTTCTGAGATTCCAAATAACGAAACAATGCTTGGATTATTTGATAGAAATAGAATTAATATGATCATTCTAGGATAATTGGGAGTCAAAGTTCCACCCTAAGAATTTGACTGATATTTTTTGCACAATAGATTTAGTATTGGCTCTAACCAATATACTTCATTCCATTTCTCTAAGCGAAAAAACAATGGTATTTGATTTATAGCTATTTAGAACGAGGCCGTTTCTGGCAACTGCAATAGCAGCCTAGTCAGATAACCCTTCACAAGAAGAAGAACTTAATAAGAAGGACGTGTCATCAGCAAACTGTACAGTACAATGTCGTTGATTAATATTAGAGATGTCGTTGAGGAATAAGAGGAAGAGAGTAGGACCAAGGAACTAACTTGGGGAATACCTGCTAAGATGTTACGATTTTCAGAATATGTTTCCGATTTGAGTCCAACCTTAACAGATTGTTATATGTCAATCAAATAAGTATTAATTCATTTTAAACTTTGGACGCGAACTGCTGTGTCTTAAAGTTTATCGAGGAGAAGTTGATGGATGATTGACATTTATGATTTTATATAAACATAGTATTCATAGAACGATATGTATCTGGAACAATGTGTGTCAAAATACAGATCGGCTAGATTGGCTGTCATTATCCAAGCTAGGCTTGACAGTGGGTCCATGTGAAATTTTGATGAAGATTTTTTAGTCAGTTTCAATCTAGTAGTTTTGCAGATTGGAAAGAACTCAAACGATATATTCAGTTTTCTCTACAGAATAAACATGGGATTATCCATAAATTAACAATTTCAAATTGACTAAAGGCTATTTTTATGGTACGCCGTTTTACTTTTTATTGTCACAAATATTCATTCCTCAATTTATTCACCTAACAATTTATTTGTTTGATTTAAAATGTTACATGAATAAAATTGTTATTTGAATAAAATAGACTAATGAAATAACGTGAAGCTTTTGTTGATTCCGAAGAAAAATATTGTTTCAGAGTATTGGAGAATGAAACGCCAATTCACTATATATTATGCTGAAAAATAATCTATATACATATAGTTCAACCCAGCAATGAACTAACATTCTTATTCAACAGTCAATGGAATNACTGCTTTGCACACTATTTAAAGGATATGTGATAATGGTCGCAGTGCTCAAAGTGTGCTCAAATTTTTTTCGTTGTTCCCAACGCAGTAACCACGATGCTGAAATTTGACTCTGATTTCATTAGTGGCTGTGGTTTTGGTTTCCATTGAGGACAGGTGTGTGTACCATTAAGGACAGGTAGCCAGATTTTATTATTGTCCATTGCCTTCTATTTCCAATTGACATTATTTTTGTGTTTTTGAGAATCTATTGCCTCTCTTTATACTTTCAAATAGTAGTGTTGTGTTTTATTGTGTGTTACTGTATCTTCGAATTGGGAAATTTGAATGCCTTCGTTGAGAGCATGTTAGGCTACAACTGATTTGTTAGTTAGTCGGAGTCAAATATGTATGTTGTTTTCAAAGAGATGGGTAACTCTACTCGAGGTTTCAATGTAGACCACCTACAGCCACAAGGAATCCGGTACACTCCGGGCATTGCTGAAGGTTTTCTGGAGTCCTCAGCTGACCTCAATTTTGTCTGATGATTTGGCCTAAATACGAGCTCCATATCGTGTTTCTTTGAGATTCTACTAATCCGGTCTGTAACATTTTCCACGTAGGAAGAGACAGCTTTCCTCAGACTAGCGTGGTTGGGGGTTACTTTGACGTTTTCTCTCCTGGGTCGTATGGCTGACTCGAACTCCCTGTCGGGTTACTCATTCCCGGTGAATGAATTTTTCAGGTGATTGAGTCCTCAGGAAGACTCTCGGCTTCACAGAAACGTTCTGCTTTCTCAACCAACATTTTGATTACCCCTCCGTTTTGTTGTGGCTGGAAGTCGAAATTTTCAATCAGATACCTGTCTGTGTACCTATTTGTTCGCAAGAACATCCAAGAAGACCAGAGTCCCTTGGCTTTCTCGTTCCATTGTGAATTGGATTTTTGGATCGGGAGAGTTCAGATATAACAGGAAATCGTTTAGTGTCTGTTCACCATCTTGCCATATCACGATCGTGATAATGCAGCCAACAATATGGTTCTACGACCTCTTGCTTTGAGGCCCCTTCTTCAAAATTTTCCATAAAAATATTTGCCACAGCCGGACTCGATGGACTGGCTGATGCGGTACTATCCATTCGTTTGTAAAAACACCATCCCACTGAAAATAAGTTGATAATGAACAATGAGCGATGATGGTGGTTATATCTGTTGGGAATTCTTCGCCAATTAGACGTGTCGTGTCCATGATCGAAACCATCGTGTACCACGTCAATGTACGTCTTCAGGATATAACTCCATATCTCTATTTAGATTGGGAGGAAGTAAATTTTTAGGAGGGAATTAGTTTTGAGAAAGGAAGGTTTTTGCTTTCTACTTTCCCATCTTAATACAAACAAATGTGGGAATCCTCCAAAGGAAGAAAGAAAGCAGCTGATTAACGGAAAAACAGATTTTAAACAGATTTTGAATAGATTTCAAGAAAAGTTATTATTTTTGTTCAGAGTTCCAATAAATAACAATAAATATAAATGGTTGTCAACTCGCGAAAAAGGTTTCACACAGTTATATCCGGCCATGAAAGTTTACATTTTATGAATTTCGAATTGATTCGTGAATTGTTCGAATATGATTATTTAAAAAATATGTGTTGAAAATTTCATGTTTCACTTTATGAACATTTCAGTCATCATTAGTCGAGTTTTTATGATTTTTTTTTCAGAAAGCATTCAACAGTAATATCAAACAAATGCATTTGATTAATCATCCATCATTTGCTGAACCAGTTATAAATCTAGCGAGGAAACTGTTAAATCCCAAAGTCGCACAAAGGGTGAGTGAATTCTGTTCAAAAACTATAGAAGAAATCATAATGGTAGAATTGAATGGATCGTGATTCTTACTGTGAAAATTTTGACTGATATTTATTTTCAATTCAACGAGCATGCAAATAATGTCTCAGTCTGAAAGAGTAAACATAGTTTTCAGAAAAATATATAATGGATTTTTCACGAACTGAAAAAAAGTTAACCATCTTTACCGCGTGATCTGCTCGATTTTCTGAAACATGATAAATACATTTTGTAATTTATTATCATGGATAGAATGAATTCTATACATGATCTATACTCTATACATCGTTTTTAAATGTTCATTGTGAACCTAGTGGTTTTCTTCCATCCTTCGAGAGTTCCCCACATTTTTATATAAAGATAGNGGGAGACACCTGAGGCTGCAGCGGGTACTTTGAGTATGATCCAATTCAACATGTCCCAAAACAGCGACTTCCATTGCTTCATTTCTGATCGGTTTCCGTGGCTGGTGTTTCACATCACAGACAGATTCGGTATCGACAAAATTTTGGACTAACTTGACGGGATGACTGTTATTAAAGAGGCGTGCAGTAAGTCTAGCACAACTATTATGTTGATATTAAAGTTTAACAATTTCAACTCGTTCAGGAATGAAATAAACCATTTTCACAGTGAAGTTGAAATAATTTCAAAAGCAACCGAACTGAATCAATGAACGTTTGCCTATATTCTTTATGTACACTTATCTGCTGTTGTTATTTGAACCAAAAAACGCACGAGAAAAATTGAGGAATGTAGTAGTGGTAAAAATGCGGTTTTTTCCGCATTTTCATTAACACCAAAAATATCGAGTAAATGTTCTTGCTTTTTTTATAACTATTCAAGTAAATACAACAAATTGAGTATCATTGGAAAAAGACTTTTGTGCCCTCTCAAATGATATATCACTCGACCCAACTTTCTATTTAAAATTTAAAGGTTGTTACTCACCCTCGCTAGGGAGTTGAATGCACAGGTAGAAAAATACATCTTAAATATGTCCCCCTCGAAAGCAAAATCGACCTGTCCGAGCATTTTTGCGTTAAGTTACAAAAAAAGGAGGAAAGCAAGGTGCATACTTTTCGTTGAACTACTCGATATGAATACATTTATGGCAAGTCACAGTTCATAAAGAGACATATTGCATTAAAAATAAAATTTTAAACATATGAAAGGAATACATATGAATAACTCAATGAAATTATTATTCGAAAATGATTATTGGCTGACCAAATAATCATTTGATAAAATATTATGGGTATTTAAATGAACTTGTTTGGTCAAACATTCCATTACATTGTAGAAACATTATATTTCTTGAATTCCAATGCTTTCACTGAAAAATCAAGAACATTATATAAATTTAGGTTCAGAGAATTTTTGTTGCTGACAACTAATCTCTGTCGTTGGGGATTCAACATATCTGCAGATCTTGTGTTATATTGATGTATATCGAAGTGTTTCCTAAATCCATTTATGTTTTAGGTATCCCTAACAAAACGAGGTATATGTATAATGAAGGCATCAACATGATACCAAGCTGAATGAAACGTTGATTACAGTGATCTATGTATCCTACATTTGCTGAAATACGAATGACCTTCTTCGTATATCGAAATATCATTATTGCATTACTTGAGTTGCCCCAAAGTAGAATACCATATAATAGTACCTTCAGAATTAAATGAAGAGAAATAAGATGGTTTCAATACGTTTAGATTGGTTACTGGTTTGAGTTGTCTTAGGACGAATAAAACTCTAAAGAGCTTACGAGGTACATAATCTACGTGGCCAGACGAGTTTAACCGATGGTTGATGATTATACCAAGAGAAGATACATTTCGTCCTTTGAGACAGAGAGTGGATTTGAGGACTTGTGATGCACTCTTTGAAACCTTTGGTGTAGTAATGAATATTACTGGAGTTCTTTCACAACACCAAGTCGTTATTTCAATACCTTGACACGTGTTTCGATCACCAAGTGATTATCTTCAAGAGGAAGATTATTCTTCCTCTTACAGAGGAACACTACACTTCGACACGTATTTTGAGCACCAAGTGTTCATCTTCAAAAGGAAGATTATTCTTCCTCTTCCAGAGGATCACTTGGTGATCGGAACATGTGTCAAGGTGTTGAAATAACGGCTTTGGTGTTGGAAAAAACTTCTTTAATATAGCTTTTCAGGAGACATTTAAGTTCTGTGTTTCACTTCTCTTCAATTTGAGTCTATTCTTTGTAAACCAGCTTTTGACTGAGTTTTTGTTATCGTCAACAGTTCGAATCAAATCGATGTATGACTTTTTCGATTTTACAAGAGCGAATAGAATAAATTTTGAATTTCATTAGTTCGAACTTCTATTGTGTAATAATATATAAAATGATTTGAAATCCCTAAAATAACCAATACNAGGAGGACTTTCTTTCAGTTTGTGTCTGAAAGTTACTTCTTTGCATGATCTACACATTCATGTATAGAGTTTCAAATTGATTACTTCCTTCCTTTCTTTGGAAGATTCTCTCATCCCTTTTTTTGTATCAGATGGAGTAGTAGAAAGCCAAAAACTTTCTTTCCCAAAAAAATTAATCACTCCTAAAAATATAACCCCTTCAATTCATCTAATTTTTATAGATTCACTTCATTGCTGTGATTTAAAGAATTCAGTTTGATTAGATTTGGTTTCACAGTCGACCAGATCATGTATCATTTATTTTATTGGCTGTGTGGCGCCCAACTAAAATCCTTATGAAAGAAAATATTCAATTGCTGAAATTTCAGGACAATGAAAAGTTTTTTTGAACAGAATCCATAGTGCATACCGACTAAGAGCTGCTATACGCAAAAGTGTCTATCTTTCTAGTGAATCTATTATAATTTTTGTATTACATGAAAGATAAGGTCACATATTCTTGAACTTCTTAGAATGGGATTCCATATTCGATTGACGTTCACAGCTTTTTTTTCTGTTGAAATTTTCCGTGTGTTTGCGGATTTCTTTTGCATCCCGTACCAGGCGGCTATGATATCCCTAGTCGGGGGCAATAAATTCCGTGTATTCAAACGGAATCCTGTCGTTTCCTTCACTAGATGTGTGTTCTACCACAGCTGACTTGTCTGTTTGGCTCAGTCTACAGTTCCTTTCATGCTTCTTAAGTCTTGTTCCCATAGATCTCATGGTGGTTTCGATATATACCTTTCCACAAGTGCACGGTTTGCGATAAACTCCGGCTGCTGATAGTGGATTCCTTTTACCAACCTGAGACTCCGTTGAATCTTCTTGGTGGGTTTGGAAACATACGTTTCAATATTACTTCATGAATGTTTGAATTGAAGGGGTTATATTTTTAGTAGTGATTGGTAATCAATTTCTTAATTGATTACTTCCTTCCTTTCTTTGGAAGGTTCCCTCACTTTTTTTTTGTATCAAGATGGAGTAGTAGAAAGCCAAATACTTCATGAAATTTTCGTGTGAAAACATTCATATGTTTGGTGACATTTGAAATGCACCAACAGTGAGTTGTGAATTTTGTTTTCGAAATGTTTGTTTTCCATGAGAATTATTGTAACTTTTTCCTGAAAATGGCAACGAACTTCATCCGTGTTCACTTCGAGATTGATGAACTTCCAAATTAAAAAAATATTTTCTTCTGCTGGGTGACCATGATATATTCGTACACTAGTTGTACGTCGTACAATAACATAACAAAATTGTATTCTTTCTGATTCATTTAGTATAAAATCACCGTACAACTCTTTCGTTTCGTTGTTAATCGCAGATAATATTAGTTACTTACCTTGAATAAACCTCCATAAATGGAGATATTCATTGATATTCATTCCACATAATGTTAGTACTTATTCATTCAAGATGTTATTTCGGTCAATCCATATGTGACCAGTCATAATGGTGGAATTGAGTTGAACAAAGTCTAAAACTTGTTTCATCAACTTGTTCCCAGATAAGTCGTTAATGGCTGATACGAACTGAGGAATTCTTTTCAGAAAAGTGCAGAGTCGGTGCAATTCACTGTAGACCTGTTTTCGTGTGATACTCTATCAGGTAAGAGATAGTTGATAAATTTTGTGAGTAATCACATATTTCTGGGTGAAATGAAAAACTTGCTGTCATTATATGATTATCAGGTTACATTTATATTATTATTTTTGTATTGGCACCCTGAAGATATTTGTCAAATGGTGAATATCACTAAAAACGTTTTATTTTTTCTGCCATATGCAGTTCTCACTGTCTTCTAAGGTGACTATTTCCTCTTGAAATATCGTGAAAAATGAATGTCAGTATGAAGGTTACCCACTCATATAAAATTACCTTAGAGTAATCTAGATAACTTTCCATTATGCCATTATTCTCTTGATTCTCTATTTAGACTAATTAAATTTTTGCAGGTTCCATGGCAAATAAAGCTGAAGTTTTTTCGAGTTACTATAGAATTTTGAAATTTCAATGTTAATAACAACAGACTTAGTGATCCATTGATCAATTAGGATTAAATGCAGTACTTTATGTGCTTTTAGGAGGGCATACTTGAACACTGGCTGTAAATCAAATCAACTGAAAAACAATTCGTAATAGTAGTTGATTTAAGCCGATTTCTGAACCTCCCTCTACCACTTTCAACCTTAAAATGATCTCCTCATACGTTGCACGACGTAGCCAATCTGATTTAAGCAAAGTGTTTTGAGTTTGACCTTCATTCACTTCCCATATTTTCAACACGGTGACTATGACCTTGAACGAAGTAAAGCCAGTTACGCGACTCTCTTGAAGTTTGAACCTACACATCACAAGGTGACTGAGGAGGTGTTTTGTGTGTGACCTTGAGTGAACTTGAACTATGCCATATGACGGAGACAAGATAACTTTCGAGTAGTGTTCTGACTTTCACTTTCAAACAACCTCAATACCCTCCCTCATTTCGCGCTGCTATCTTGAAATTTTAAGGATTCGACTATGAACGACCTTGAACTGCGTAGACCAGGCGGCTTCTAGAATTTTTACTTTGACTTCAATCGACACATTCAAC